GGGGTCCCAGGCCGGAGTATGGCCCCCAGACCGGCGATTTAAGGACCCAGGGTTCAACCAAGTCGGCACGGCCCCCACGGCCTGCCCGCGCTGAGATTGGCTGAGCCGGCCTGTGGGCGGGGCCTTCGGGTGCTGAGACTGGCCGCGTGACAAGGCTGGGTCCCACCTTGTCCAAGAGCAAGTTGGACCCTCGGGTAGCCGAGCTGGGGGCAGCGCTGAGAAGGGTCCGGTGCCTCCCGGGGACCCAGATCAACTAGTTACCTCGAATTCATATCTTTGGTGGGTGGCTCACGAAAAGAAGCTTACAGGGAGCCCCAAGTGGATTTTCAGTGTGAGCCTGCCTACACTTTAGACTTTAGTCTAGAATTTTTGGTTAAACTGTCAGGAGGGCTGAGAACACTTTATTTAGTCTAGCTGTTCCTGTTTATTCCACAGTAAATGTGGAGCAAAGTGGAAGAATTCAGAGCCCACAGGCAGATGCATTCTCACTGTTTCTTGATGGATGCAGCTGGGATTTGGAAGGATCTGGAGTGGAATGGCAAGCCGCAAACATGCCTTAATCCTTGCAAGAAAAGGGGAGGACTGGGTTGCTTTCCACAGAAGGCGCTGAGTTTTGTAATGCCCCTGTCCTGTCTTCCCCTGTTAGGAGTTCAGAGATTTTTCTTACCTCTCTCAAGTCTGTCTCAAAACTGACAGAAATAAATTATTTACAGGAAAAATGTGGTTTAATAAAAGGAAGAATGGCTGAAACTATAATAGAAACTGCTTTTACCTCCTCCCTCTTTGCGTCATGGATTATTGTCTTCCTCAGTATCCAACGTGCTTTTCTTGAGATTTAATTTAAGAAATTTGCTTTAATGTATTTTGCTTCAATGATTTTTACTTTACACTTAATTGTCAGGATTTAAGTGACAGTTCGTGAAAACATTTTAAATGGGGGAAAATATATTTACATATTAAATATTAATGTACATAATTTAGAATTTAAGGAACACAAGCCAGAAACATTGTATGTATTTCCTTTTTTTTTTACAAAAAATATTCACTGTTGAAAATACCTTCTAAAAAAATATCATTACCTCATTTCACTTACCACTTCACCTTTTTCTATGCATATTTTGAATTATTTTGATAAAAATGTGTCACGTTTCATGTGGACTTGTAAAACTAATTTCTATTTAGGATTGAATTGATAAACCTTCTAGAACAGTGGGTCTCAACCTTCTTAATGCCGCGACCCCTTAATACAATTCCTCATGTTGTGGTGACCCCCAACCATAAAATTATTTTCGTTGCTACTCTATAACTGTAATTTTGCTACTGTTAGGAATCGTAATGTAAATA